CCCCCCCCCCCACACACACACACACACACAACTTGACAGCCAACTCTCAAAAAACTCAGAAAAAGAGAAAAAGAGAAAAAGAGACCGGATTTTGAGTCCTCTGGGAGAGCGCCGAAAACTGTGGCACACCCCCCGTATCCCAGGCGTCACGCCCGGGTGCCCGGCAATCATCGCCATATTCTAGTCAATGACTTTACAGTAAATATACCTAGTTATTCTTGTAAATTAGGAGATAAAATATCGATCCACAAACATTTCGAATCTAAAACAAATATTTTTGCCAATTTTACTCAATCTCATTCATTGAAAGTTCCAAGTCACTTGACCTTCAGTCCTACAAAAAAGGAAGGTTTGGTCCATCAAATAGTAGATCGAGAATTTATTGGCCTTTTTCAGTCTTTTTGCAAAACAAAGGGACCTATTTTCTTCTTTGTTTTTTTTTCATTCTCTGCAAATTGAACTAATTCTTCATATGCCGTCACTGCCGTTTGCTCCATCATGTTCGCCTACTTATCAGGAAGCCGGCGCATGCATACAAGTTTGCGACTTCACGCCAAATCTTTTTATTCATGATGAGCCACGGCTTCCGGTTGCCAGCGACTGCAATGACCTTGACCTCATTGTTGACTTCCGGGGACGGAACACTACCCGGACGACATGAATCATGAACTGCATTTCAGTTAAAATTGAAATATTTTACTGGCATCATGGCATAATGAAATTGAGTTTTTCACTTTTTTTTGTTTTTTTCCTTTTCCCCAGCGATTTGGGCCAGATTCTGGATGTATCACAGACACCGTACCTTTTAAGAGGAATTAGCATATGTTCACTGGAGGACGATCAAACGGCAAACATGGTCAGTTTCACTCACCGGAGGATGATCAAATCACACAACCCCCTTCGAAGCTCAATTTCGTCACGCCAGCAAAACATTCCAATTTTAACTAAAAGCCTCGAGACTGACCAAACATTCCAATTTTTTAACTAAAAGCCTAGTAAAATGCACTTAATGGGGCATAGTTGCTATTGACTACAGCTACCAAACATGGCTATTGGCTGCAGTTACTGTTATTATTATTTACAGCTAGGGAATACGACTGTTGCAGTATATGCGTATTATTATACTATTATCACCGCGTAACCGTGTTCCAGCCCGGGCAGTAAAGAATAGTTACAATACCACCATTCACGTCCTCCTCTTTTTTTTTTGCCCTACCACTTTTGTGTCCGGAGACGAGGATCATCCATCCCTTTTTTTTAGGTTGATTATGTTCTTTCGTTTGGGAGATAACTTGCATATCACCTCCTCCATCAGTCGGATGGTCATTATCGACTAAGTAAAATTGACCAAGTAAAAAGAAAGTCCTCAGAGCATGGAGGGAAACCAGATATCTACAGCGCAGAGACACTGCAGCTATTTTTCACAAGGACTGACTAACAGTGACTATAGCTGCCAATGGCAGATATTGCCTTAATAGTCTTAGTATAGACTTATATAGCAAGTGGCTGGGGCTACTCACAGTAGCTATCAACAAGTAGCAGATATAGACAGAGCCCATAGGAACTGAACACTGTTGGCTATAGCCATAGCAACCCCCACCAGCTAAAGACTAGAGCTATTGACCATAGCAACCCCCATAGGACTAGAGCTGGTTGCAGAAGGTATAGCTTATCCACAATAGCTATTGACTGCAGCTACCAAACTTGGCTATTGGCTGCAGTTATTAATTACAGCTAGGGATATATGACCGTTTAGTACCACAAGTTATTAACTCGTTAGCAATAGACTACAGCAATAGCGAATAGGCAGTCGTTCCGAGTATCGCTATTGACTGCACCTGTCGACAGTATAGCAGCTATCGCTAGTGAACGGAGTCATTAGTTTTGTAGCCTTCTGAATGACAGATGCTGACAGCAGCTACAGACCAAATGACAGGTGTTTCCTGATCCTACCAAGTGCAGCCTGGACTCACAGCAGCTCCTAAGGGTTGCTAAGGGTTGCTAAGGGTCTCCCTAAGATTGCTGCTTATGGTCTACCTAAGGGTTGCTAAGGGTTGCTAAGGGACTCACAGCAGCAACGGTCCGCAACAACTACAGCAATCTGCAACACCAGTCCAAAGTGAGACCTCCCTCTAGCAGAGGCTCCCTAAGCAGCAATCTTAGGGAGACCCTTAGCAACCCTTAGCAACCCTTAGGTAGACCATAAGCAACCCTTAGCAACCCTTAGCAACCCTTAGCAACCCTTAGCAACCCTTAGCAACCCTAGGGAGACACTTAGCAACCCTTAGGGGAGACACTTAGCAACCCTAGCGGAGACACTTAGCAACCCTTAGAGACACTTAGCAACCCTGAGCAACCCTTAGCAACCCTGAGCAACCCTTAGCAACCCTCAGGGAGACACTTAGCAACCCTTAGCAACCCTCATGGAGACACTTAGCAACACTTAGCAAACCTTAGTAACCCTTAGTAACCCTTAGCAACCCTTAGCAACCCTTAACAACCGTTAACAAGTCTTCCAAATATCATTGGGTTCCCAGGGATTTGTGCTATGTACCCATGTTATTCCCAGGGTTTTCTGATGCTAGGACACACTTTGCAACCCTTCTGAATGTAATTGGGTTCAGATCATACTTGCGGCGCACTTCTGCGGTGCGCCGTGCGGTGCCCGTGCGCCATGCGCCATGCTCAAACTAGTGATGCACTCAATTTTTTTTTATTATTTTTTTTAAGGGGTGTGTGCGTACAGGGAGAGAGAGAGAGAGAGAGAGAGAGAGAGAGAGAGAGAGAGAGAGAGAGACCACATCAGAGGGAGCCTGCAGGTCATGTGAAGGGTCTGCGCAGAAATAGCATAGACCCTTCACGAAATCGAAGCAGGCGTTGAGTTCGAAGTGGCGCAGGAGCTGACCGAATATATACTCTAGATTTGAATTCAGGTCTGTGTTTCAGCAGCAGTTATGGGTAGCTCACATAGCTCTCTGCATGTGATTCTCACCGCTTGGCTGCACTACTCACCAAATGTGCGAAATTAGAATGAATCTTCTGCTACAACGCGGAACCATACGTTGCCATATGTTTTGCCTTTCGTGCATGTGGTGAGTAGAGGCCCTTAGGGCCATTGGACATATTCCTAAGAAAAAGAAAACGAAGAACAAAGAATCGCGTCCAGAGAGCAACAGGTGACCCATAACCTCGGATACACAGACCTGAATTCGAATCCAGACTATATATTCTCGGCCCACTCAAGCGAACCTCGAAGCCTAACGCCCATCTCTGCTTCGCGATGGATCCTTACTGAATCACTGTAGGGGCCCTTCGGAAAAGAGAC